TGTCAAATAAATAAATAAAATCTTAAAAAAATAAAAATAAATAAAAATTACTCAGTACTTATCCACCAGCCCGGGGGGGGGAGGAGACAAAACCCAGAAAATCTAACAATAATCTGTGTTGGTGAGACTGTGGAGCAGTAGAAACCCTCATACAGTGATAGCAGCAATGTAAACTGGTACGATCACTTTGGAAATAAGTTTGACATTACATAATAAAATTAAGCATACTTATACCGCACAAGCCGCAATTCTACAACAAGGTATACACTCTAGAGAAACTCCTGAATGTGTGTACCAGCGCCTTAGCTTGGGTCTAGACAAGGACTTGGCACTCGGGTAGTTTCTCTTGGGATGTAGTCCTAAAGAACAGGAGTGGTGCACTAGAATGATTAGACCAGGGAGGAAGGAAAGCCATTCGAAGGGGGTGTCATTGAGTTGTTAGCACTGTGAGCAACTGGGGCTCAATCCTGCTGGACACCCTCTGAGAAGCTGTGTGAAGTGAATTGTCCACCTGTGACCTGGAAATGGGGACTATTTATCCTTTGGCTCCTGTCCTCATTGGTCAAAGATCCCTTTTCTTGGGATCTATGAGTAGAATAAATGACCTTCGCCATGGCTGTCATTTCTTGATCTGCTGGCCTCACCCTATCTGAATAAGAAAACCTATTAAAACATCTACTGAGAATACTTGAATAAATGGTCATATAGCTACACAATGCAATACCACACGGCCATATATAGCCACAAACAACAAAACAAGTATGATTCCCACAAACAGAATTTTGACTGAATATACAAAGACACAAAAAAATGCATCAAGTATGATTTCATTTATATAAAGTTCAAAATAGGTAAGATGAATCTATAGCATGGAGGGATGCATACATAGGAAGTCAAACTGTAAAGAGAAGCAAAGAAATGTGTATCACAAATGTCAAGATAGTAATTACCTCCAGGAGAGGAGGCAGGGGATTGTGATTTGGGGAGAGGGGCAGATGGAGAGCTTCTGGGGAACTGATAATGGTCATGGTAATGTTTCCTCACTGAGTGATTTTAACAGATTTTCTTTTTAGTGGTTCTTTAAATTATATATATGTATTTTATGTATTTGCTGCATATGTCCTATCTCTTAAAATATTTTTGAATTGTTATCATGTAGCTTGATGAATGAACAGAGGGATAAAGAGTGAGGATACAAATGGATCAAAATGTTAATTGTATTATCTACCTGGCCCAAGTGTGGGTGCTCGCTGACTATAGCAACACAAAGAGGCTGGCATGGCTGCAGCAGAGTCTGGGAGGGAGATGCAGTGGGGACAGACAGGGACAAACACACAGGCAGGGACCAGGCTACAGGGGACCTATACACTGGGTTAAGGAGCTTAGACTTTTTCCTGCTGGCAATGAACAGTAAGAATCCGGCATTTCTTCTTCACATCGTGTGCTGGGGCTGGCGGAGGAAAACGTCCACCTTCACCAGAGCCTCAAAGGAAGACATAACCCCTCACCGTCAAGAGCAAGAGACTTGGTGGACGGAGTCAGCCGCCAGGCTTGCCCAGCTCCCTGCGGAGCATGTGAAGAGCAAACCGCTGCGCATCTCTGGCGGGCCTGCTCTGTGCTTCTCCTAGGCCACTGGGATAGATGCGACTGTCCTTATTTTGCATCCACGGCCAGTAGGTGATAGAACAGGATGTGAATTCATTTGAAGTCATTTGAGACAGCCCATGTTTTTAACGACTTGCTTATACCGCCTCTGCAAGACTGTGGCACACATCATTCTGGGGGCGAGGGAGAGAGATGGCAAGTCAGCGGTATATAGGGACGGCAGAGCCACGGGAGGAGACGAGATCGTGGGGAGAAGAATACCAGAACTCCCCCTGAGACTATCAATAGAAAGAGGGCATCCTGGAAAGGGTGTTTGGGGTGGGATGGGAGGAGGCCAGCTTGATGTGCACTGAGGAGACTAAGACTTTTTAAAGAAAAATGGCTTTGAAGAGAAGGAAAAAGGAGGAGGTAGATGGAGGGCCGGGTAGACAGCGGCTCTTCTGGTTATTGCACAATGGAACATTTGTCAAAATGTCTACAAAAGGTCTGGTGCTAATTCTTGTAACTTTGATCCATAACAAATTGGAAGTAGGACTATTAGATTTTAGATAGGAAATCTAGGGCAGAATATGTCTCCTTATGGGCAGATAAGGGAATACCATAAGCAGAGGTTCAAAAGTGTAAATGACATAGAATTATGTTGTTATCTATAAAACTGTACTATTGGAAACAGCCCAAATTTCCACCAATAAGAGAATGCTTAACTGTGGTACATTCATACAGTTCTCTGCCTCGTCCATCCCAGCTACTTTGTCTCTGGGTGTCTGAGCCCTTTTACTTTGGTTGATGATGTAAACATTTGATTTTGCTTTCAGATGAACTGGCAGCAATGCATTCCTGTCCGAGCAAAGCGTTAAGACGGTCATTATCCTTACAGAGCAAGGGAATCGGCTTTGGCATCAGATTGACTCGGTGCTAATCTTACCTTCACTGTTCACTCCTCTCTAAAATGGTAACAATCTCTCCCTTGGTCTATTACCAAAATATAACGCCTGCTCCATGCCACGCACTGTTCTAAGCCTCTGCAGAGGTGAACTTATTTAATTGTCCCATCCATCACCTCTCTGAGCTAGATACTGTGGTTTGCTTGTTTTTCTAATAAAGAAACTGAGGCACAGACAGGTTAAGTGACTTGGCAGGGTCACAAAGCTGGTGACTAGGGGAGTGTGTTGATTCGGGATTTGAACGCCCACCACCGTCTGGCTGCAGAACCCGTGCCATCCAACAGGAAACGAGCCCATCCCCGGACCTGGCACGCGGTGAGGGCTCTGCGCACGGCGGCTGCGGGACGTGCAGCGTGCGAGTGGAATCTGCTTTCCCGGGAGCCTGGACTTCTCACGGCGGGCGTGAGGCGGCGAGGGCTTCCCGGGGTGAGGACCTCGCCCGGGAATCCTGCGGCGGTCGGAAGCCGAGTCCGGAGTTCCGCACGTCCGCCGCA